CGCACTTCAAGAGGGATGTGGATAACCTGGAGAGGGTCCAGGGAAGGGCCACTCGTATGGTTAAGGGCTTGCAGGCCAAGCCCTACGAGGAGAGACCTCTTCAGCCTCTGCAAGAGAAGGTTGAGAGGCGACCTTGTGGCTGCCTATAAGTTCATCACGGGGGCACAGAAGGGAATTGGTGAGGCTTTACTCACCAAGGCGCCCCAGGGGTCACAAGAAATAATGGTCATAAGCTAGCAGAGAGCAGATTTAGACTAGGCGTTAGGAAGAACTTCTTCACAGTTAGAGTGGCCAAAGTCTGGAACGGGCTCCCAAGGGAGGTGGTGCTCTCCCCTACCCCGGGGGTCTTCAAGAGGAGGTTAGATAGGCATCTGGTTGGGGTCATCTGAACCCAGCATACTTTCCTGCCTATGCAGGGGGTCGGACTCGATGATCTGTTGAGGTCCCTTCCAGCCCTAACATCTATGAATCTATGGCATCTTCGGATAAATCACTCAGTTATGAAGGTTTCCATCCTCCCTACTCGCCCCACTTGCCTTCAGCACATCACCTTGTTTCTTTACTGTCCCAGGGGGTAGGTGCAAAGCCATTTTTGTGAGGTGAGGTAATAACTTTTATTAGAACAACTTTTATAGTTGAGAGCAAGAGGAGTTTCAAGCAGCCTTCACTAGCTCTGGGAAAGAAACAGTCACAGCTGCTCAGCTATATAAGTTTGCTCAATAAAATATATAGCCTCACCTCACAAATTTTGCTTGACTATCTAGCTATAGTGCTGCCCCCATGACAGCCCAGAAGATAGGAGGAAAATCAGGCAGGAAAGCAAGAGGAACAGTGATCCAGGACAATGGAGTCATGAAACAACAGCCCTGCTTCAGATGTCCTGGCCACCTGACACAACCAGCACACATTTGTTTTGATGGATTGAGGCAATACAACAGGTCCACTGGGGTCCCATAGAGTCAGTAGTTGAACCAACAACATCTGCCTGGCATCATTCATGAATCAAAAAAGAAATCACTTCCTAGAAATCTCCTTTTTGTTACTGGGCAGTAATGTAGCATGCTCTTTTCATTGGAGCCCCTGCTGCCCTTCACAAATGCTAGGGTCTCCTCTTCCAGTGATGGCCAGAAAGTGGCATAGTCTTTGGGGAGGACTGACCAGCTGGCCCCATGTCCAGTAGCTTTGGGACTGAGTAATAAATACCAATAAGTCCTGCCGCTTTTACCTTCCAGCATGTGCATGGCCTTCCACAGCTTGTGCCTGCAGTGCCCAGAAGAGCCTCCAGGCATGCCATGGCCACTCTCTCCCCCTCAGTGAGGCACCTCGTGCCTCAGAGTAGTTCTCAGTATCTTGGGGAACAGAAGGAGAAAGGGGGAGATCAGATGTGGGACTCAGAAGGGTGGTTGGGTTTGGCCGTAAAGTGGCTCAGCCCAGCAATCTCAGAAAACTGTAGCTAGGTGAGGTGGGATGTTTCTGTTTCTGTGTGAGCGAGGTGGCTCAGCAAGAGTCAGGGCACAATCAGGCCACAGCTGGACAGAGAAATGTGGCCCCGTGCTCATACAGGGCTTGGCAAAGAACCCAGTCGCCCTTGCTCTCTCTCACTCACATCTGTCCTTTGGGACTGCAAGCTCTTCCTGTAACCATCATAAATCATATGAAAGTGCCCTCCATCCCTCCCCATTCCAAACCTGGTGAGAAGGAGCACCCTGGGCAGCTAAAATAAATCCCATCAGCTTAGAGGACCTGAATGCTCCCAAGGCAAAAAGTCGTTAGGTGCTGCTCCTGTGGTACAGTCTGCCCATCCCAGTGGAGAGGGGAAGCTGGAAGCAGAGGTGCAGCTACCCCTGCAGTGCTGGCTGCTGCTCCAACATCCCATTTACAAAACCTAGGATCTGCCTATGGAGGTGAGAAGTGGCTGAGGATTCACTTTGCACTAGGAGTGGTTGTCCTGTGGATGCTCCCTATCATCCTCTCCAGCACATCTTTGGGTCTCATGTCACATCTCTGCTGGACACCAAACTGGTGCAAGTTTTGCCGCTCCCCTGCCAGCCCTGCAACCCTTGCCAGCTGATGCCAGGGCCAGACTGCTCCCAGGCTGACTCAGTTTGAGTCAAGAGGGACCCTACCTACTCCAGCATGTGAAAGTGAGAGGAAGAGCAGGGCTAATGGGTAGCAGGGAGTATTGGCTCCATTGCAGCTCTGCTAATCTCACTGGCACTTCATCTGCCCACTCCTTGCTCTGGGGCCCCTGGATGCAGCTGCTTAGAGTGAGAGGGAGGCAGCCCATCCCTGATGGACTCATGAGGAACATGACCTGAGATTAATCCACTTCCAGAGGCACCTGGGATTTACATCCATACAGGTTTTTGCTCCCCTGAAACACAAAGCTCCCATCCTGCCCAGTACAGAGTCTGGGGCCATCTCAGGAAGGGCAGAGACAGTAATGCTTCTCCATCCCCCCCAGCTGGCTCCTCTGTGCTCAGAGCTCACTTATCTCTGCAGTAGGTGGGGAGGAGGTATCCATTGCTCTGCTGTCTTCTGCCTGTGGCAGGGCCCTGGGTGACTGCAAGAGGAGAAGGGAGAGGAGGAGGCAGGTGCTGCTCAGGTGTGGGCTGGGTTGGTACTGCCCTGGAACACTGTCAGTCTGGGAACAGAGGTGTGCACTGTGAAGCAGATTGGGAGTAGCTCAGCCATGACACGCAGGCCTGGCCACCTGCCCATTGCCCAGGGAGCTGGTGTATAAAGGCAGGGAGAGAGGCAGAGCAGCATTCATCCTCTAGCCAGTAGCGTGTGGAGTGCCTGGGCATTGCACAGAAGCCAGGCCAGCTGCCCAGGATCATCAGGCTGGGTAAGTCCTCCCACCTTCTGTTCACTGCCACAGCTGTGGGGAAGCCAGGCCTGGGGCATAGATGGTCATTTCTGCTGTCAGAAGCTGCCAGAACATCCCTCAGGCTGGGGTTAGGGATGTGGGGCACTCATTAACTGCATAGTGCACTTAAACACAGGGGCTAAGTGCCTTGCTGTTGTGAAGTTGGAGAGCTGCTCTGTATATCAGTTCCCACCTGGGCTCAGTGACTAGGAACAGACATTGCATTTGCCCCCGGACAAGTTGTTGCCCATGTTTGTCCTAGAACAGAAATGTCCCAGGATTGGCGTGTGCACACGTCACCCTTATAATTAGAGTTTAATGAGCATCTCAATGGACTGCTCCTCTTTTACCATTGGTTCAATGATGCAATCCCAGGATAACATTAGATGTATTTAGTGATGTCCCAAGATAAACTGTTAGCACTTCTTATCATGTGAACCTTCCTGAGACAATGAACATAGATGTCTGAAGGACTGAACTTTGTTCCAGGATGAACTAGTTTACCCCAGGACAGATAAGATATCTGTTTGTAGCCATTGTCACCCTCACTATCTACCACAGTAAACTCCTCTGAAGTGATTGCTGGGGTTTGGGGAAGGAGGGATAGAGGGTCCTAGCCATGGAGGGCTCTAGCCATCCCCTTGTGCCCATAACTGGGCCTGGCAAATAGTTAGCTTGGAACAGCTCCAGGCCCCCAGAAGACATGGTGGCTTTGATCCTGACTGACCATACCCAGCCCATGTCTCTCTTGCCTGGTGAATGCTTTTATCCAGAGGTGGGGAGATGCTAAGATTTCCTTGAGGACGAAGCAGTAAAGGGAACAGATGCAAGCTGAGGCTTGGAGGGACTTCTCAAGTGCTGTGCCCTTTGGGAATCCAAAACAGGTATGGGGGTGCCATGGAGAACTTGTTCCCAGGGTTTGTTTGGCCTCTTTTACTGACCACAGGCATCTCCATCTGAATCCCACAGCAACACAGGCTGACAAGTGCTGTCGTAGCATGTGCATGTGGAGACTTGCTGCCTATAGCCTATAAAACATGGGGGAGGGACAGATTCCCAAGTGCTCAGCACACAACCAGAGCCAGGTTCTCAGGAGGAAAGCTGGCCCAGAAAGCACTACCTGGTTCAGGAGGAGGAATCCCAGAGAGAGAAATCCATCTCTCCCTGGTTATAGATGATGCTTGCTTTGCATTGTATCAATGGCACTATGTTGGCTGTCTCATTTGCACCCTCCACAAAGCCTGCTACCATTACCATGGCAATTCCCAGGACCTTTTTTTAACTTAGACACGTGGTATTGGAGGCATTTTGACATATTTGTATTTAAAGAACTCACAAGACACAGGGGAGATTGTTTCAGAATGAAACATTGTTGTTTTACTGTCTCTTTTCTAAAGGTACCTTGTTCAAACTAGGACTTTTGATTTCCAGGAAGGTTTTTGGCTACACCTGTTGCTAGAACCAATTCAGAAATGGGAAAAGGCCTTTTTGGGAAGTTGCTCAGGGTGGATTAAGTGAATTTGTGCACAGAGTCTCTACCTGAGGCATCTCAAATGCCCCTTCAGTTGGCAGACAGAGATAATATTGACAAGGTCAATGGATCTGTCCAATGGCTATATTACATCTAAACACAAGTATAAATGGGTGGACTGTCCAGGCTTATGTCTTGTAAAGCTCTTGAATAGGTGTGCTTCTTTGAAGGATGATTTTTAGTGCTTATGATAGCTCTATGCCCCATGATACTGTGTCCCCAGCTCTAGTCCATAATAACTTTAAAACTCTCTCTCACACACGCATACACATATGCATGTACGCAGATATGCACTCACACACGTGCATTAACTTCTGTATTTCCATGAACTTTGAAGGACAACAGTAGCTTGCCACTGAGGTGTACTGGCAGAGCTCTTGGTGGGGCCAGCATCAGCAGTGCCATAGCAGGGGTCTCTGACATGGGGCTGAGGGTGGCCTAGGTCTGGAACAGCAGGTGATGTTTCCTCGGAGAAGAGGAGCAGGAGCAGACTGAAGGCATGTCCCCCTGGCTCCTGGGATTAGGAATATCCAGAGACTGTTTGCTTCACTCACTGCTCCTTTAGTGTCTGCAGGTTTCCTGTCTTGCCTGGGTGCTACAATGACCTTATTCGATGGCTCTTTCCCCTTCTACCCCAAGTCCAAGGCATCCTTCCCATTTGATACAGCTTGGGCTGTGATCATCTCTGTGTTCATCACTGTGCTGGCTACTTTCATCATCATCTGGCCTGGCATCCAAGGCAAAGGGGTAAGTGAGGCAAGGGTGGGTGTGAGGCAGTACCACTCCTTAGTGCTTCCCCCCTGCTCTCCTGGCTGGTGCAGGGAGAGCTCCCCACGATGGGCTAGGACACAGATTGAAGTGCCAGGACTGCACTGTATGCTGTCTATGAGTGAAATCTCCCACAGGGGAAAAGTCCAGCAATGTGATTCTGGGTGGAGAGCACAGACTTTCCAGGCCCCACAAAGTGTTACAGAGGCAATGACTTCTCTCCTTTGCCCTGGAGCAGAGTGACACAGCTGGACTGGTCACTCAGGGTACATGAAACCTCAGGTAGATGTGTTACTCATACACTGAGTCACTAGCTACCTTGGAGGAAGGTAGAGGTGTTATATCAGCCACCAGTGACAGAATATGGCCTTTCAATGGCAGCCACCCATGGCATCCATCCCATTACACACGGGTGTGGAAAGGGCAAGCCAGACCACTAGTTGAACCAACAACATCTGCCTGGCATCATTCATTAATCAAAAAAGAAGGGCACTATACTAAAGCGTCTTTGCAGGCAAGGACTTGGGACCTATAGGCCAGGTACAGAAATGACACTTTTACCGGTATAAGTTATTGGAAACCAGTCTATATCTGTAACAGAACAGAAATTTGACACACACATACTGGTTTAAAAATGGTAGAACTGGTCTATGATTTGATCCCCTCCCCATTCCAAAAGTGCGAATTGTGTTCTGTTTGCTACTGGTCTAGACTACTCCACATACAGAAATTCACATCACTTAGATTGATTCCACCTCGGGCTTTTGGAATGCCTGTACCTAGCCTTAAAGTCCCAGGATTTATCTACAGGTGAGTTCAAACCCCAAATCTGGGGCCTGGCTCCAAAAGTTTCATAGTTTCATAGTAGGTAGGGTCAGAAGCGACCTGAGCAGATCATCAAGTCCAACCCCCTGCCGTGGGCAGGAAAGGATGCTGGGGTAAAACGACCCTGGCTAGGTGTCTATCTAGCCTCCTTTTGAAGACACCCAGGGTAGGAGTGAGCACCACTTCCCTTGGAAGTTGGTTCCAGATCCTAGCCGCCCTGACTGTGAAGTAGCACCTCCTGATATCTAGCTTGAATCTACTCTCCGTCAATTTATGGCCGTTATTCCTTGTTACTCCCGGTAGTGCTCGGGGGAACAGGGACTCTCCCATTGCCTGCTGGTTCCTCTTGGCCAGTTTATAGACGGCCACCAGATCCACTCTCAGCCGTCTCTTGTGGAGGCTGAACAGGTTCAGGTCCCGTAGCCTCTCCTCGTAGGGCCTGCCCTGCTGCCCCCTGATCATGCGGGTGGCCCTCCTCTGGACCCTCTCCATGTTGTCCACATCCCTCCTGAAGTGCGGCGCCCAGAACTGGACGCAGTACTCCAACTGCGGCCTGACCAGTGTCGCATAGAGGGGGAGGATCGCCTCTTTGGACCTGCTTGTGATGCATCTGTGGACAAGGGGTGGTTACCCTTCCTGACTGCGTCCCCACATTGGCGGCCCATGTTCATCTTGGAGTCTATAATGACTCCAATATCCTTTTCTGCCTCTGTGCTGACGAGAAGGGAGTTCCCCATCCTGTAAGTTGTGCCTGGCCACATCTTTGTATTGGCCTAGACCCACTGTCAGATGCAACCACCTGCTAAGGAGGAATATTCAGGCCCAAATTTGAGCAGAGCAGCCCCTTGGTCAGCTCTAGCTGCAATCAAGCCTTGAGGTTGTATATCCCATGGACAAAAAACACGCCCATGTGTTCAGTTCCCAAAAGAACAAAGAGCACTTCATCAAAAGGAGTCATCTTTTGCATGCCACTGGTCACCTGAACTAGTCTCTGCACCTCTGTCCTGTCCTTCCTACAGAGGTCCTTCTGGATCTTGCGAGTGGTCACCAGCCTCTTCATCGGAGCAGTGATTCTCAGTGAGTACTTGGCTGCCTGGGTTCCCACAGGCTGCCAGGCAGTGGGGGGACTGGGACAAAGCAGGAAGGACCAAGGGAAAGGATTGCTGTGCTCCTCTGCAGGGGAGGAGAGAAAGGGGAGGAAAAAAGAGCAGTTGTGAATAGCAGGACAGATACTACTTGGATTTTCTAGGAAAGCCGGTACTTTTCTCTGAGTGATAATCAAGGCACTTTCTCCAGCCAAGCAATTAGCAGGTGGAGGAAAGGCTGGCATCTGCATGGTAATTTATTAGCAGCAAATAATTAAAGCAGCTCTACTTTGGAGACTGATAATGAGATGCAAGGGTCACCTCTAGGTCACTGACTGAGTACAAAGCCTGTTGCCGTCTGACATCTGCTCGGTGACCTTTGTAAAATGAGTTGTTAGCCCCAGTCACATGGGCATCTACGTCATAAACCCCAGCACACCATCCCCTTTATTGCATCTCATCAGAGAGGGCAAGGAGCTGAGCAGGCCCTGAAAGCAAGCTGCCCCTTCTGCTGAATAGGATATGGTCAGGCAGTGGGTGGGGATGTACATGATACATGGACGCACAGAGGCCTTCAGCCCTATGGCTTGCGGGCCAGCCCCTCCAGCTTGTGCTGCAGTGAGTTCCCTTTGAGGCATGCAGTGCTGCAGGGCTCTGGTGTCCCCCTGGCCTCAACCTGGCCCTCAGCACAGAGTCTCGGGGAAATGGCAGCGCTTTCTGAAGAGACTGGTGGTCTTCAATGCCAAGTCCTTCTACAGCATGAGTTAGAAGCTTGTTAGTAGTCAAACATGCGTGGAAGCTGCCTGTGTCTAGAGTGGAGAAGCTCTGACTAACCACTGCAGTCTTCACAGCTGTTAACTTCACCAGGGACTGGGAGACTGGCTGGGTGACAGTGAACACCTCCTATAAGTCCTTCAGCAATGCCGTGGTGGACGCGAACATCGGGCTGCACATTGGCTTGGCCGGCATCAATGTCACGCTAGTGGGTGAGTCCCATTTTTTAGCCCAGGAGTGGTGAGGAAACAAAGGGGGCTTCTCCCCTTCCTGGGAAGGGAGCTCTGTTGGGGCAGAGCGGTGGCACTTCAGGCAGGGGAGAGCAGCATTGCTTACCTCTGCCCTTGGGGATAATTATTGACCCTCTGCTAGTCCCAGATCTCCGGGGAAGCTCTGTTCTGCCTAAGTGGCTGAGTGGAGCTTGCTGTTTTGGCAGGAAACCCAGTGAATCAGATCAATGAAACCATCAGCTACAACGAGCACTTTTCCTGGAGCTTTGGAGAGGACTATGACCTCAGCTACAGTGAGGGCCTGGAGCGGGGGCTGCCGCGTCCCATCCTGTACGTGGCAGAGAAATTCACCCCGAACAGTCCCTGTGGTGTGCATGCCCAGTACCGCATTTCCAGCCACTATGCCTCCCTCACACTGTGGTAAGGCACAGCAAAATGTTGAGCCCCCCCTTAACCCTTCCCCCTTGCACCCTCAGAGCAGAACCAGCAGTGAGGGAAAGGATCCCTATTTGGTGATAGGTCAGACAAAGAGCTGTAGGGGCTTTCTAACATATGTTATGTGGCTCAGTGCAGCAGCATCCAAGGACTGATTTCATTATCCACAAACTGCATGGACTGCCTGGCTGTGGACTGTGCAAGCAGGTTATGCCAGGTGTGAACTGCTTTCAGAGTTACTAAGGTTCTCTTATTAAGGTACTTAGCCACAGTATCTTTCTTTGGGTGCAAGGCTTGAAGTGGTAGCATGTTATAAGCTAAGTAGGGTCAGCTCAGATCTGTACTATAAGAGAGGCCTTCAAGGAGAACTCTAGGTGCTCCCACAACTTGTGTTCAGCAGCTTGTCCTTGTTAGTAATAAATGAGTGCATTGAAGAAGGAGCTGGAGGAGGTGCTGTCTCTTAGAGAAGAACAAGACCTGGCTGGTTATGAAAGGTTTTGTGGTTTTTGTGTAGAACTGGAGATGGCAGCCCCCATCCATCCCATCCAAGCTCTTTGATGTGTGACTGGTTTTCACACTGCACACAGTTGTTTGCATTAGTGCGCAAGTGGATATGAAATATTTTCATAATAAGTTGCATAATTATCATTCTTATTTTGAGCTGGTGGCAGTGATCACCCAAGGGCTTGGGCAATGAGAACCATGCTTGCCAGTGTCTGGAGAGGACACTGGAGAGTGAGATTGTCCTTTCAGTCCTATTCCTGTCTCGCAGGGCAGCCTTCTGCACCTGGCTCATTTCCAACATGTTCTTCTCCATGCCCATCCTGCTGTACGGGGGCTACATATTCATACTCACGGCGCTGCTGATGATCTGCTCGCTGCTCTTCTTCACTGTCGCCAGGCACTTCCCAATGTGCAACATCCGGTTTGGTTCAGCCTCCCTGCAGATCGGTTATGGGGCATCTTTCTGGCTGACCTTAGCCACAGGTTAGTTCCCAGGGTTGCTGCATGACACAGAATCAAGTAAAGAAGAACAGAGAGAAACAAAGGCTGATAGGCGCCCCAAACCTTCACTTGCCCACCAGAAACTGATTGTTTGGGAGGATTCACATGGCCCCAAGAGGTGAAGCTGGCTTCAGGCTCCCAGGAAGCCTTGATAAGGTGTCTACCAATATTTCTTAGTGGAAGGAATAGTGTGATACCAACTGCAGCATTAGATTGCCCATAAGGATCAAGATGGCCACTGGGCTGTGATTCTGGGCAGATATATCAGGATTGTAGTCCTGGGGCCAGTTACATCCTTCAACTTGATTAAATGCCAACTTGGCTAAATCATAGGTTTCTAACTTTGCACTGCAGTAATACATTTCTGCTTTCTGCTGGCAAGGAATCTCATTGACCTGAATGTCTCAGTTTAGGAGAGCATCAGTGGAAGAGGGCCAGTGTTAGAACTCCAAGCCCATAATCCATGCCCACTTCCAAGGAAGGTGTTTATCACTCTTCTGAGTTGAGTACAAGATTTGGTCTGGTCACCTCAGCTAATATTTACCTCTTGGGCAGTGCATCCAGGGCTGGTTTAATGCTTGTTGTCAAGGAAATGAATAAAGAGCTGAGCAGTGAGGTAGATTATTTACAGGTGATCCAAACATATTTAGGAGACTTCAGGCTGAAGAAGAGTGTGAGGATCTTCACAGGGTGCCCTAATGGCAGATGGTATCCATGCTACTATCATGGACTCAGCAAAGAGTACTGTAATGCTTACCAGTCAGATTCACTGCTAGGTTTTAAATTGACTGTAAACACTCAGAATAGGGACTGAGGAGTCAGTGTAGACAGCTCAGTAATGCCAGTTCACCAGCAATCAGAAAAGGGAACAAGAAGTCAGGGTACATGAGGAATAGCAGAGAGGATGCTGCAGAGAATTGCCTAACACCATTGGACAAAATGAAGGAAGATCTCTGCAAAGCCGCACTGTTCTGGTCTCTCTGGCTGAGCTGTGCAGCAGCTGCTTTCCACAGTCCTGGTGCTAGCAGTCTCTCTCGAGAGGATCAGGCAGGCATCGGGATCCCTCTGGTGGCAGAGTGTTAGAGCAGTCAAGAGGAGGTCTGGTTCTGCAGGCTGTAACTAGTCTCCCCACCTTGTATTGCAGGGCTGCTGTGCTTCCTGCTGGGGCTGGCCGTGATCCTCATGAATTTGATGCAGCCCAAGAAGCTGAAGCTTGTCTTTAATGTGAGTGAGGGAGAGGGAGAGGAAGAGGAGGAGCAGGAAGTGGGGCCTGCTGAGCAAACCCCGAAAGGCGACATCCTCATGGCTCCGCTGGGTGAGAACTGCAAAGTGACAGTGACTGACTTGTGAGGGCCAACCGCTGCCCCTGCCCAGCCTGCAGAAGAGCACCGAACAGCCGTGTGAGGAGGCAGGGGAGGAGCAGGACTGTGCCTGGGCTTCCTGGAGGAGATCTTCCAGACTGCCGATCTTTAGCAGCTCCCAGCTTACCCACGCACAGCCACACAAGGCTTGTGGCCAACCCAAACAGGCAGGGGCCAACTTAGTTTAGTATCTTGTCTCATGCCCGAGTGCAAAGGTTTCCGTGGATCTTCCTGCAGCAGTAGCCATGCCTTTTCCCGTTGTGGCAGGGGCTTGCCTAACCATGGAGTGTAAGGGTGATTTCAGCATGCATTGCCACCCCCACCCTTACTTGACCCCAAATCCCATCAGCTATTGTGCTGTCCAGTCCCCCCAGCTCCTTCAGTGCCCTCTCTGTCTTGTCAAGGTAAATAGCCCTTGCTGCTGCTCCCTTCTTTTCCTTGATCATTACTACGTTAAACCACAGTCCAGGCAGAGACATCTGCTGCTGACTCACAACTGACCACTTCATCTTCCCTTTTCTTCCATATCTCAGCCAAGTTATGATCAGGGGCAGGTCTTCTTCACACCTCCCGAATAAGGCGTCTGCATGGTGAAATCATTGTCCTCTGCGGCAGTGCCTTCATGCGGGCTGCACAGACTGACTTCTAAACTGTCGTGTCTGTGCAAGGTATCAGGCCAGCTAATTAGCACTGCTGCCTGGGATCCCTTGAGCATATACTGACAACCTTTAATAGGAGCAGGACATTGGCTGCCCGGTTCCCCTACTATACACTGTATCTCATTTAGTCGGATGCTGCCCTGAAGGGGCTGCTGCTGGGCACAGGATATTTACCATGTAGACATGGCCTCAGTTTACTTCAGTTTTGAGAAGCCTTAATAAAAGATTCTGAAAAGCCTAGATCAGCACTGCCAGTCCGGTTGGCTTTAGCAGCTGCCTTCTGACAGAAGTGGGCACGCTGGAGGAGAGGGACTAGATCTAGACAGGTTACAGGGGTGGGTGGATGAGAACAGGATGGGTTTCCAACCTGACAAGTGCAAGGTGCTGCACCTGGGGAGGAAGAACCAGCAGCATACCTACAGGCTGGGGAACTCCCTTCTCATCAGTGCAGAGGCAGAAAAGGATTTATTGATTCCAAAATGAACATGGGCCAACAGTGTGGGGATGCGGTCAGCAAGGCTAACTGCACCATGTCATGCATCCACAGCTGCATCACAAGCAGGTCCAAGGCGGTGATCCTCCCCCTCTATGTGACACTGGTCAGGCCGCAGTTGGAGTACTGCATCCAGTTCTGGGTGCCGCACTTCAGGAGGGATGTGGACAGCATGGAGAGGGTCCAGAGGAGGGCCACCCGCATGATCAGGGGGCAGCAGGGCAGGCCCTACGAGGAGAGGCTACGGGACCTGAGCCTGTTCAGCCTCCACAAGAGAAGTCTGAGAGGGGACCTGGTGCCCATCTACAAACTGGCCAAGAGGGACCAGCAGGCAATGGGAGAGTCCCTGTTCCCCCGAGCACTACCGGGAGTAATGAGGAATAACGGCCATAAGTTGACGGAGAGTAGATTCAGGCTAGATATCAGGAGGTGCTACTTCACAGTCAGGGCGGCTAGGATCTGGAACCAGCTTCCAAGGGAAGTGGTGCTCGCTCCTACCCTGGGGGTCTTCAAAAGGAGGCTAGACAGACACCTAACTGGGGTTATTTGACCCCAGCATCCTTTATTGCTCACGGCAGGGGGTCGGACTTGATGATCTGCTCAGGTCCCTTCCGACCCTACCAACTATGAAATTATGAAACCTCTGGGACAGCCATACTTCCCAGGGGCCATGCCATGGGGTCCCTCACATACCACACCCAGGTCTGTGTTTCGTTCCTCCCCCTGGAATCATCCCTTTCCTCAATTTACCTGGTGTTGAGGTAAGGCTCTGTGACCTGCCCCTCCGCAGGGTCCTATGGTTGCCCAGCCCAGGTGTGGCTGCACCTTTCATCTGGCTTCTCCAGGTCCTTCAGAAACCTTTTATGGATGCTGCCCTGGCTCAGTGCTGCTCACTCATTTGGAAGCTTGTTCCAGTGCTTCACCTTTTTCTGCCAGAAGTGTTGCTGGAATAAGACCTTGGCAGACCCACCCATCCTCCCAAAGACCTTCTGCTTCTGATATATGTACTTCAAGGTGTACTTGTGATTGGTTTTCTGTTTGTGGCTGTTTGCTCTTCAGATTCCTTCTTCCCCTCCTAGTCTCCATCACACATTGTACCCATTGTGAGTTATGCTATTGGCGACCATGGTCCTGGACTTCCATCTTCTGATCTAAAGGATACATCACTGTCTCTTGATACTGACTGTTTAGCCCACTGGGTTCATTTCTTATCTTTTGCTTTATTTTTTTGTGATAAAGGTTTGCATGCTTATTGTGGCTTTATTGCACTGATCCATCAAGCCTAGAATTTTACCCTGCCATTCATCCCTGTAGTATCTGGGTGCCTGCCATTTAAAATCAATAGCAATAAAACGTATACTTAGGATAGATGATGTGGTTTTTAAACATTTTATTAAGTTACTTATCTTGATTAGTTGATTTGTTCCTGGTTTTAAGGTTGGGGGGTTGTGTCTGTGGGTGAAGAGGCCAGTGTTTTGAACAACATCATATCTGTGGTGGAAAGACTGTCTCAGAGTGGAAAGCCTTGCGAAGTTTCCTGAAGAAGGCGAGACTCTAGATTTGTCCGGTCACCTCTGGCAGCCTATTCCAGGCTAGGGAGTCTCCAAGCCTGCTAGGGCCAAGATTAGTCTCTTTAAGCTTGCCTATGTCTATCCCAACCATGCAGTTTATCCAATAAAAGATATCACCCACAAGAATTCTTGCCTCTTGCATAGAAGAACAAACCATTTTGGTGCAAAAGACTTGTTTCCCTTTCAGTGAAAGATGTCTTGAGTGTCAGAATCTTATGGGAGCATTTTCTACACATCTTGGCCAACTCTGTTAGCTAGCCAGTTTTCTCAATTCCTTTTTTTCCCCATCAGACAAAAAAGACACTGATGTAACATGAAAAGAAATATATACATATATTTTTTACCATAGGCATCATTAACCTGTAGATCTCAATGTCACCAGATGCAGGTGAGCAAACAGATTAGGAGGTTTCTAGGCAGAATTAGGCACATTTAGGGATAAAAAGATTGTCTTGGACAGGCCCATGAGGTACTGATGCAAGTCTGATATTCCTCTTCTCCCCCAGCCTGCTTCAAGGCTCAGTCAAGCTGAGCACAGACTAACTGGGGTGAGGGAGAGATTTCAACTCAGGGCAGCATAGCACATAACTGTCCAGTATGGTGCTCCCTCCTGTTGCTGAGCCAGGCTGGGAGTTCCTGTGCCTCCCTTCACCCCCAAGAAAGAAAGAAACACAGCTAGGCCCCAGTGACGAGTGAAATTGGGGTCCCCAACCTAGCCAGGGAGAAAGAAGCTGGAGATATAAAAGGCAGATCCCTGCCCTTTCCCCAGTTAGGAGGGGATAGAGATAAACCAGGAGAAGAAGAGACTGGTCCGTCCACCCATGCAGCCAGGGGAGAGGGAGGTTTGGTCCGTCCACCCATGCAGCCAGGGGAGAGGCAGATACAGGAGGCAGCCTTGGTGCACACTCCTGCTGCCCTGGACATCCATCCCTTTCACAATGCCATCCCCACAGACAGGCTCTGTGAGCCAGGTGGCACAGCTCAGCTTCCCTGCTAGGGGGTGTGCAGGGTCCTTCTGCTGCAGGCACCTTCTGGTGAAACCACCATGGGCACAAACTGCCCTAATGCGATGAGGTAGAGGGAATACCATACAATCACTTTGGAAAGGAAGGTGTTGCAGTACAGATGCACAGACCAGATTTAAATGAGCACTTCCAAATATTCAGCTGTGGTGTAAGCCTGTGAATGCTCTTTAAAAAGTAATTTCTTAGAGGGCAAAAAGAAGAAGCCAACTTTTAGCCCTCACAGCTAGCAAATCCCATGCTAGTAAAACCCAGATCCTGCACTACCAGGCTTGTCACCCAGCAGCAGTAGGTACTTGTTATTGAATGTGAAGGAGCTGTTGGAGGAGGCCAGTTGGGCACTGGGTTACACAGGTGACTGTGGCCTTATAGCTTGGGTGGCACAGCCAAGGGAAAGTCAGAGTTTGCTTTTCCTGAGGTCACTGTGCCCAAGCAGATGGTCAGCAGTTCTGGGTGGAGCTCATGATGGCCCAGCT